CAAACATATACAAGGTAGCAAGTATAAGTATGAACATAAGCATGAAAAAAGGAAGTAAATACAGATAAATGTAAGACAGGGACAGTAGGCACGCTGGTGCACTTATGCATGCCCCCTTTACGGACCTCTCAGGAATGGGGTGAGGTCTACAGTAGACAGTTTAAGGTTGAAGCTGTGAGGGTCTGAGGATGTAACAACAGAGTCGGGTAGAGCATTCCAGGCGTTGACCACTCTGTTGCTGAAGTCGTATTTTCTGCAATCGAGTTTGGAGCGGTTTACCTTGAGTTTGTATCGATTGTTTGCCCATGTATTATTGAGGTTGAAGTTGAAGAAGTCATTGACAGGTAAGATGTTGTAGCAGACAATTTTGTGTACTATGCTTAGATCAGACCACAGGTGGCGCAGTTCCAGATTGTCCAAGTCCAAAATTTCAAGCCTGGTGGCATAAGGGATTCTGTTGTGAGTAGAGGAGTGGAGTACACTTCTCGTGAAATATCTCTGGACCCGCTCAATCGTATTAATGTCCGATATACAGTGTGGATTCCAGACAGACGAGCTGTATTCGAGAATTGGCCTGGCAAAGGTTTTGTATGCCCAAGTTAACAATTCAATGTTACCTGAGAAAAAGCTTCGCAAAATAAGGTTAACAACACTTAAGGCCTTTTTGGCAATGTGTTACAGTGAGCTCTGGGGCTTAGATCATTTGAGATAAGTACTCCTAGACAGGGGTGAAAAAACTTTTCAAAGCATTTTTTCTAATGCTTTGAAAAGCCTCTGCCGATCAGGCAACTCAGCTGGGATCGTCAGAGACTTTTCAAAGCATTTTTTTTACTACCTCTTCAGCCAAGAGGTTGCAGAAAAAAATGCTTTGAAAAGCCTCTGACGATCCCAGCTGAGCCACGCGATCATCAGAGGCTTTTTTTTTTTACTTTTAAAAGCATTTTTTTTTATCGGAAGAGGTTGTAGAAAAAATGCTTTTAAAAGTTAAAAAAAAAGCTTTTGATGATCGTGCGGCTCAGCTGGGCATGGTGGTGGGGGAGCACAGGGATTTTTGCTATCAGTTCTCTGAATCACCCGCTGCCATCACTACCGGATCGGGTGATCTGGTCCGGACCGGGAGCATTTCACCCCTGCTCCTAGGTCGTTTCTGCCTAACTTGTATTTGGTGTTCTGATTTTTTTTGCCAGTGTGTAGGACAGAGCATTTGTTAGTTGAAATTTGGAGTTGCCAATTACGTGACCATTCTGACACATAGTCTAGGTCACTTTGTAAGGCAGCAGCATTGTTGGTGGTGTTAAATAATTTTACATCATCGGCGAAAAGGATGCAGCTGCTTTTAATGTGATCACATAGGTTGTTGATATAAAGCAGAAAGAGTGTAGGTCCTAAGACACTGCCTTGGGGGACACTGCTATTAACTGGTGCTGGATTTGATAGGGCCCACCCTATTTTTACCATTTGTTACCTTTTTGACAGGAATGTGGCTATCCACTTGTGCAGGGATCCGGAGATGCTGGAAGAACTAAGTTTCAGCAGTAGTTTATCATGCACCACTGAATCAAAGGCTTTGCAGAAGTCTATGAAAATTGTGTCTATTGCTTCACCTTGATCAAGATGTGTGGTCCAAATGTTTCTGCAGTGTAGGAGTTGCAGATTACAGGACAGATTCTTTTTGAAACCAAACTGCTTGTTAGAAAGCAGGTTGTTTGTTTCTAAGTGGAGGGTGATGGGGTTTATAACAGTGGTGAAATGTAAAATTTGTTACTACTGGTTCTGTGGGCGTGGCTTGGTGGGGGGGGTAATGTGACTGGGTGGGCATGGCCAACTTTTTTTTTTTACTTTTAAAACCATTTTTTCTACAGTCTCTTTGGCTGAAGAGGTTGTAAAAAAAATGCTTTTAAAAATAATAAAAAAAGCCTCTCATGACTGTACAGCTCAGCTGGGCATGGGGGGGAGCAGGGATTTTTGCTACCAGTTCTCCGAACCATCCGCCGCCATCGCTACCAGATCGGGTGATCTGGTCCAAACTGGGAGCATTTCACCCCTAGTTTATAATCGATTCCATGACTTTACAGGTGACGCAACACAGAAAGATTGCTCTTTAATTTTCTACTAGACTAGGGTCTCTCTTTTTAAAAATAGGTATGACCGTGGCTAATGACCATAAGTCAGGCAAGGAGCTGGTTCTGAAATATACCTCATAGATTGTGCTTAGAGGTTCAGCTAAGGCAGTGGCAAGCTTTTTCAAGTAGGCACATAATCCATCAGGGCCAATAGATAGAGATGGCTTTAGGTTACGTAGTGCTGTTTCAACGTTAACTGCTGTAAAGTTAATATGTAGTAAGTCATTACAATTTGTTATGGTGCAACTGGGAAATTTTTCCCTCATTCTTGTTTCATCTGCCAAAATCATCAGAGTAACAGTCTGAAGAATAACTTGATAATAGCAAAGATTTCTCTCCATTAGCTTTTTGTTTTAATAAATTCTAATATTGTGTGAAACAGGAAGGGGGAGGGAATTCATTTTCATCAGTATTATTCCTAGACATGGTGGCTGGGCTATTCAGCAAACAGCCTGGTTCACAAAATATGGCTTGTTTTGGGGTTGTAAGGAGAGATGAACCCATCCATCCCTATTCTACATCCTGTCTGAATCAAGTCATCATTATTTATTCAATAAACCATCGTTATAAATAATCATGGTTTACAATTGGTCCATCAGCTCTCATCTATGGTCCTGATCAATCTTGTCCTTCTAGATTCTAGATATCTAGAATCTTGCCCTTCTAGATACATTGAGGTAGTTACATCAACATATCTGGGTTTTGGTTTGGTTTTGGTTTGGCAAAGGTACAATGATCAAGCCAGAATGCTTTAAACTCCCCTATTTAGTTTTAATGCTCTAAGACATGGGTCCTCAAACTACGGCCTGCAGGCCGCATGCGGCCCGCTGAACCAATTAATCCAGCCCGCGGAGCACCACGACGTTGCCCCACCCACATCACCCAACCCACCCTTCAGCAGAGTGCAGGACTTGCCTTCGGGAGAGCTAGAGGCTGGAACCAAAAGGTAAGCTCAACAATTTTAGCCTGCAGAATGCTTGTGGAGGTGGCGGGGTGGTGGTGGTTAGAAGAGGCAAAATAACAGGCAAAAATGGCCCGTTTTTGGCCAAAAAATGAGCCATTTTTGCCTGGTTTTAGGCTGTAGAATGCTTGTGGAGGTGGGGGGGAGTGAAAGGAGGCAAAAAACAGGCAAAAATGGCCCATTTTTGGCCAAAAAGCAACCATTTTTGCCTGGTTTTAGGCTGTAGAATGCTTGTGGAGGTGGGGGTGTATGTGAAAAGGCAAAAAAACAGGCAAAAACGCCCATTTTTTCACCTTTACCGCCTCCACAAGATAGAGAGAGAGAGAGAGAGAGACAGAAAGAGAGAGAGAAAGAGAAAGAAAGAGAGGGAAGAGAAATAGAGAGAGAGAGAGAAAGAAAAAGAAATAATGAATGAAAGAGGGGAGAGAGAGAAGGAGAGAGAAGGAGAGAGAGAAAGGGAGAGAGAGGGAGAGGGAGAGAGAGGGAGTTAGAGAAAGAAAGAGACAGACAGAGAAAGAGAGACAGAAGGAGAGAGAAGTAGAGAGAGAAAGAGAGAGAGAGAAAAAAGAAAAAGAGAGGGAGAGAGAAGGAAAGAGAGGGAGACAAAGAGATAAGAGAGAGATAGAGAGAGATTTCTCAAGCTCCTGGGGGCTGAGAAGAATTGTAGCAAAACTGAGTTTCCTGAAACTAGACTCCTAAACAACTGAAAAAAATGAAAAAAGAAAAGGCAACCAAAAGAGGAACATGCAAATAAAAGCAAATAAAACACCCCCAGGAGCAAAACAAATTAAAGTTTAACTTGTGTGCATTGTTCAATGGACTGTTATATTGGCCACGCTCACCCAGTCACATGACCACCTAGCCACGCCCTCCCAGCCGATCCGGCCCCCCAACAGTTTGAGGGACCGTGAATTGGCCCCGTTTAAAAAGTTTGAGGACCCCTGCTCTAAGATTTCAATAGAAGAGAATATTTGTAGCTCAGGGTTGAATTGTGAGGTACTTGGTTTTGTTGTTTGCTTGTAGACATTTCATTGCATTGTGGCACAGTGATATTATCTACAGGTAGTCCTCGAGTTACGACCATAATTGAATCCAAAATTCATGTTGCCAAATGAAACATTTGTGAAGTGAGTTTGCCCCACTTTACGACTTTTCTTGCCACAGTTAAGTGAATCATTGCATTCATTAAGTTAATAACACGGTTGTTAAGTGAATCTGGAGTCCCCATTGACTTTGCTTGTCAGAAGGTTGCAAAAGCTGATCACACGACCTCGGGACACTGCAACCGTCATAAACATGAATTTGCCAAGCGTCTGAATTTTGATCACGTGACCATGGAGATGCTGCAAGGTCGTGAATGTGAAGAAACAGTCACAAGTCACTTTTTTCAGTGCCGCTGTAACTTTGAACGGTCACTAAATGAACTGTTGTAAGTCGAGGACTACCTGTAGTTGGGCAATGACGCCTCTGCAAGAAAACAATCAAGCTCATAAGAGCAAGGAGGACCCCCAGAACCCTAAGATTTCCTGTTGGGTCTCTCATCCAAGCAATAGGCTCGGCCATTTGCTGGTGGGCCACAGCCTTTCCCAACTGGGATAGAAGCAAGGGATGACTCTCTCTTAATGGGGTGTGTAGGGAGTTGGAAAACGTCCATTTCCTCTAAAGCTCCTTTTCTTCATACACAAATTTACCTCAGGGTGAGGTTGGGCTGGGAAAAGCCCTTCTGCCCCTACGCCTCGAACTGCTTCCTCTTCCTTGCCCTTCCAGCCGTCGAAAGCGGCTTGGGCGACGCCCCCCTCCCACTCTCTGCAAACAGGATGGCGCAAATGGAGCGCAGGGCAGCTGGGCAAGGGCTGGGCGGGCGCTTCTGTCCGAAGGCGGCAGAGCGCGGCGGAGGCGAGAGACGGGGAGAAAGAGAGGAGAGCCAGCGAGCGAACGCGCGCGCACCAGAGCCGCTTCTCCGCCTCTGCGTCGAGCAGCCCCAGACAGCAGCGGCTGAAGCGGAGGAGACCCGCAGAGCTGCGAACGCGCCCGGCCGCCGCGAGCACGGCGGAAACCTCGCCGTCCCCCCCACGCGCGTCCCCCAGACACGCACCCAGGCAGAGCCGCGCTGGAACGCGAGGGCAGCCCGGAAAGCTTGAGCCGGAGCCTTGCTGCCGTTGACGCTTCGGCGGTCCCTCCGCTTCTCCACCTGCCTTCCCACGCCGCCCTCCCAGATCCCTCCGGGCCGCCCGTGTCCCTCCAGCTTCCCGACCCAGCCTCTCTTGGGCGGCAGCGACTGAACGGAGACGCCATGGGGAAGGAACCGCCGGGCAAGAAGGAGGGATGCGATTGCAAGCGGTTCCTGAAGAACAACTGGCTGCTTCTCAGCACCATCCTAGCCGTGGTTCTGGGTGAGTCGCGGGGGAAACCTTTCGGGGAGGGAAGGGCGGGCGGCGGTGGCGCTCGTCTCCTCTCGCCCCCTGCCCGCGTTCCGTGGGAGAAGACAATGGAGACCCGCAAGAAAGGTGGTTCAGTGTGCAAATCGCGCAAAAACTGGGAAGGTTCCTTGAAAGACTACCCGGGCTTGCCGTTTCCTTCTGGCACTCCTCCCGAAGAAGGGCTATGCTCTTGGGAGCAGAGGAAGATAAATTAGCCGGCTGGGAGGAGGGTTAGACCGGCTGAGGAATAAGGTGCCCCGGGTGACATCACAATCGTATGCACTACGTTATAAGGAAAGTTCATCAGTCCTGTTGCCATTGTGGACAAAACTCTAAATCCTTCATTAAATATCCAAAATTGCTGGTAAGGTGAAATACTGCCGGGATCGAAGAGCTGGTTCAGTACCGCCCTCTGTAAAAGTTGTTAAAATTAAGAAATCGCAGCACTTAAATGGCAAAATCTTTCTATTCTGCCCAGATGATTCTAAAGCTGTATCTATTTAGAACTGGGTCCCATGGAATTCCACAGCTTCATGTCTACCTTGGTGTCAGGTGTGATTCAGTTTATAAAGTTACATCTTTTCACAGGACTGGTCCCATTGCTGTTAATTAATTGAGTATATTTATCCAAATGAACATTCCTTTCCTTTCCATTAAAATGTTTCTGCTTTTCTCCAGTCTTCTATCATGTAGGTCATGATAATGACAAAATTATGAAGGTTCCAGTTCCCTTCAGTGAATGTTTTATTGCAAATGCCTTGTCTAACCTAAAGTGAAACTGGATGAAATCTGTTTCTATGTAGATGTAGGGGTTGTCAGCAGTGAGAGATTAACTGTGTTTATTTAGAAACAGGTTGTTCTGTGTTTAGTGGCACTTATACCCAAGTAGGACTTTAAAAATCCAAGCAGCAACATGGGTGGAGTTGGCTGTCTCAGATAGCCAGGTTGGATCCTATTTGAAAGGAGGGCAATATGCATTTGGAAAAACATCACAGAAGTAGACAGTAATGAACCACTTCCATGTTATTGTCAAGCAAACAAATGACCTTTTCCAACCACTGGGAATTTGACTTGAGATATCTACTTTTTCCAAACCAAAGAAATGTTGAAAAGAAAATAGGTAAAGCGGCATGGTCTCTCTAACCATCAGTAAGATAATTGTCTCAAGGTGTAATAGAATGAGAGAGTATTTGGTGTGCTGCAATGTTTTTCAATCTTGGCAACTTTCGGATGTATAGATTTCAAATCTTCAGTATTCCCCTGTCAGCATGCCAAGTTTGTCAAGTTTGGCATGGAAGATGAAGTCAACAAAAGCAAGCAAGTTTGAAACTGGGCCTCTTTAGTCTGGGTTTGAAGGGGGGAAAAATTCCCCAATGTATCCTTATGGGAGATGCAGTAAAGCAGCAAGGTGGAATATTTTTCACCCCGTTCATTCTAAGGCTCCCTCCTCCCCTGCGGTCATGTGACCCAGAACACAGAATTTGCAGTCTGCGTTGTGTGCAAATTCAGAACCATCCACTAATGCAACACAACAGGAGGAATACAGAAACTCAGAGGCAGCACACGTACTCCATTGTCATTAGACCCTCACAAATGCAGAGAGATTCAATATACAGTATTGAATTAGTTTAACAACACAGAGCGTTGTATTGGTTTATTACATGGCTGCTGGTGGTACAGGAGTTGAAAAGCTTTCAGGAAAACATGGTTGCTATGCTTTTCCCACCTTGTTTAAGGATGTAGGTGACCGCAACTTTCATCTACTTTCCATTCCAGAAAACAATGTTATCACTTTCTATGTTATTCAAGCCAGAAACTGGTTTTCCAGTGTGACTGAATACTAGAGATAGATGCTTGTTTTTGAATATACCCTATAACTCATTTCAGTTTAAATTTCCCCAAAAATATAAAACACCCTTCACTATTGTTCCCTGCCAAGATTGATTAAATAATTATTTTATATCCCATATAACTGAACTCATTTCTTGGCATTAGTATACCCATTAAACATGTAAATTAAATATTGATCTATAGTTAAATGCTGGAACATCTTAATGGTTAGAAACAAATAAATTCTAGAGAAAATATGCTTCCATTTCCATTTTTTCCTCTCAGTGTTACTTTTTTGTTCAGTTATTATTTCTCTCAATAGTCCCAGTGTGTGTGTGTGTGTGTATGTGTGTGTGTATCTCAAAGCAAACTATATCCCTTTCAATTTTAAGTAACTGAATAAAATAATAATAAAAAAGCTTTTGCTTACTGTTCATAAATTCCATTAAACCTGTTCAGATTTAAAGGCAGGACACTGCTTTGGGATTGGGACATTAATTACATACATACCCATCATATTACTTCATTTCAAGATACGCAGCATTATGAAAAGTGCAGAAAAAGTAAGAAATAATTAGATGAAATAATGATGTCATATGAAGTGGCGAAAGAAATAGAAACATACCAAATCTGCCTTATGCTGACACCATTCATTATACTGATCCATACCTTTCGACCAGGGGTGACATCCAGCAGGTTCTGACAGGTTCTGGAGAACCGGTAGTGGGAATTTTGACTAGTTCGGAGAACCAGCAAATACCATCTCTGGCTGGTCCCAGAGTGGGGTGGGAATGGAGATTTTGCAATATACTTCCTCCAGGAGTGGGAAGGGAATGGGGATTTTGCAGTATCTTTCCCCTGGAGTGGGGTGGGAATGGAGATTTTGCATTCCTTCCCCTGCCACGCCCACCAAGCCACACTCACAGAACCGGTAGTAAAAAAATTTGAATTTCACCACTGCTTTCGACCCTTACAAACCAATTTTGTTTCATGTTACTACTTTATACATTGCCTTTTGTTCTTTAAATGTCTTCCTTCTCTCTTTCAGAGTATCTCATTATCCCCATCCAACGATAGCTTTTTGGTCTTCTTTGTTTTACATGTTGGCCTTCATTCATTCCCATTGTAGAACCAAACCCCCCGAATGTATATTTTTCATACTGGTCACTAATGTTTATATTCAATCCCCATTCATTTATTATTCATTCTGCTTCTTTTACTACACACACTTCTTACCTAACCCTTCTCATTGTATTCAATTTATTTTCACATTTTTCCTGAGATACTCAATTCTTAGTATTATATAGGAAAGTGGGTAGAAGGACAATTTTATTCACACCACTTTTTACTTCTATTATGAAACAGTGATTCCTCACAACAAACTGGTATTTGCATAGCTTAAAATTTCTCTCTTTTTCCAATTGTACTAAATGTTTTACACAAATTTAAAAAATTGCTCTAGTTTTTCACCAGGTACAATTAATTTCATTTACCCTGTCTAATTCAGCTATTTTTATCTTTAATATTAATTTCAAATCCATATTGCTCACTACATATTATTTGTTTAACATTCCCTGTAAATTATTACTCAGCCAATTCCTTATCATGGAATTTATTTTCATTCATGTTTTATTTCCATCATATGTTGCCCTCATCTTCAACCATCAACATTCAACTTCAGAGTCATGAATAACATTCCTTAATACAAGCTCTTTATGATAATTCACTTTATCATTTTTTTTTTACTAAGATGTTAAACAGGAAGAATCTGACCTTCACAGTCATAATCTGGCACAAAGCCAAACCAGACTTTCCTAATTTCACACTTCCCTAATTATAAACAGGTAGTCCTCAATTTACGACCACAATTGAGCCCAAGATTTCTGTTACTAAGTGAAACATTTATTAAGTGAGCTTGCCCCATTTTACAATGTTTCTTGCCACAGTTGTTAAATGAATCACTACAGTTTTTAAATCAGTCAAACTGTTGTTAAGTGAATCTGACTTCCCCATTGACTTTGCTTGTCAGAAAGTCACAAAAGGGGATCACATGATCCTGGGATAAAAAAACCGTCATAAATAAAAGTCAGCTACTAAGCATCAAATTTTGTTCACATGACTATGGGTATGCTACAACGGTCGTAAGTGTGAAAACTGGTCATAAGTTGTAACTTTGAACAATCACTACATGAATTGTTATAAATCGAGGACTACCTGTAGTCATAATTCTGCCACCAAACATTATTCCCTCTTGGTTTTTGGTTTCTTTCCTTCTTGCTACCTTTCCCTTGTAGTGGAACAATTACTGTGAACTATCAGTTATTGGGCACAGATTCAGACTTCACATGTATCTTAAATATCATACAGCCTTTTCCTAAGTAACATCCATTTTTGCCATCTATATAGGCTACACCTGCAGCCTTACCATTTAAAAAAAAATCTCATGGCATTTATAGCTTCTGTTTCAGTTTTGTTCTTAGACATATTGTTCTCATTCCCTTACCTAGAACACTAGCATTGTTTCATTTCATTATTCTATATCACTTCAACACATTTAGTTTTCATTCCTTCATTCTATTGGAGGTTTCTTGTTTTAGTTACTTTCACTCACTTCTAAAACTTCTGTTTCACTCTGCATTTAAATGTGCTTTTTCCTTGTTCTTTTTGAATTAATTGTTTGCAGCTATTTTACACACGCACATACACGCACACACACTGTACTTTATCTGTTTTTCAGCCTCCTTTTTGGCAGAATTATTCCCTTATATCTATTTTTTCATCCACAGCCAATATCACCAAAATAACCAAGCATTATTTTCATATAGTGAAGCCTTGTTTTAATGAACCGATTGCAGAGATGATTTCCCGTTATTAACAAATGTCCTGTAAATCAGCAAGTATGACATTACAGCAATAACTGGGTGATCATATAATTATGAAAGAACATATAACTTACCTAATTGTGACAATTTACATCATTGGGGAAGTGACACAAATTGCAACAAATATGAGTTTTGGTATGTGCAAAGTCTATTACATCAAGGTCCCATGTATCATAGTTTCATTATATTTCCTGTTGGTTCTCTCAAACAGAAATGTATTAGTTCAGTAAGCTCTATTAAATGGGGATTTTACCTGAGTAGATGTGTGATGACTTATTATTAAAGGTTTTGTTATCCTGATAGTTTGATGAAGAATAGTTTTAGCTTTGCTCTTTTAGGGTAAAAGAGTTACCAATAGCATTGCATATACACACATACAATGTTCAGTATTTTGAAGCACTGTTATTATGAAGCCCTTCTATGCTAGAAGTATTTTAATATTTGCTTCTTTATAATTTAAAGCAATCTGTCACAACATATGTCATAATAAAATACAGGTAATCCTCAATTTACACTATTCCAGCTGGTTTCTGAAAAGCAAAGTCAATGGAGGTGACTACTTATGATGCTTGAGTCATACAATTCCCTTTTGTGACCTTCTGACAAAGTCAATGAGGGAAGCCAGATTCACTTAACAACCGTGTTATTATCTTAACAACTGCAGTGATTCACTTAATAACTCTAGCAAGAAAGGTTGTAAAATGGAGCAAAACTCACTTAAAAACTGTCTCGCCTAGCAACATAAATTTTGGGCTCCATTGTAATCGTAAATTGAAGACTATCTGTAGTGTACCTTCAGTTTTACGAATTACAATATTAAACCTTTTGTAACTCAATTTATTTTGAAATCTGTAAATCTGCCAAATTTCAACTTCACCAGATATTTTTGAGACTAAAACTCAAAACATGGTTTATTCTTTATTTCCTTAGTGAATAGCAGCTTAAAGAGAGTTGGTTGAACATTCTGTTTTCCAGCTGCAGACGGTGCATATTAAGTGTGCATTGATGTGCAACTTTGTGTCGTTATCAGTCTCGCTAAGTTCCAAAGGATTTGCTGATACATCTATGAATACATTTGATTTTTAAAATACTTCATTGCAAAATATAGTGTAATGGTAGATTTCAAAAGGATAAATTGGCAGATGATAGCCAGGCACCTCCCTCCTCTGCACAACTCATCTCCTGTCTGCTGTAAAGAGTTTACAGCTAGCCCTCAAAATTGGGACTAGATAGAATTTCCATTGTTAAACAAGGTGGTTGTTTAGTAAGTCATGCCCAATTTTATAACCTTTTCTGCCATGATTGTTAAGCAAATCACTGCAGTTTTTAAGTGAATGATGTAGAATCTAGTTGCCTTCATTGACTTCTGCTTTTCAGAAGCCAGGTAGGATAGTGCAGTTAGTGATCACATGACTCTAAGGTGCGGCAAGTGTTGTAAATATTTGCCAACACCCAAATTTTGATCCTGTGACCATGGCAATGCTGTAATGTTTGTAACTTCAAGAACTAATCATAAGTCACTTTTTCAGTGCCATTGTAACTTTGAACAGTTGTTAAACGAATGGTTGTATTTCAAGCTCCAGTCAGATTTTGTTAAATTCTTCCTGGAAATAAAACAGCCACTGGTAAATCCCTATTGACTCCAAACTATGATATGCAACTTTTCACCTATAGTGTGCTGAATGCACTTCTCCAACGACGTATATGCAGTGCTCCTAATAGAATTGAACTACAACGTTTCAAGGGACATTTCTCTAATAATACAGAAGGAAGAGAACAGAAAACAGGAATATTTTATTGCAGAGTAGAAAATATATATATTATACATTCATAGACTTCCTGAAAAACAAACTACACTATCAAATATAAGATGATATATTCAGAAGGAAGACACTAAAAAGTAGAAAGATGTTTATTTTACATATAGTCTTATACAACTAGTCCTTGAGTTACGACCACAATTGAGCCCAAAACTATGTTGCTAAGCAAGACAGTTGTTAAGTGAGTTTTGCATCATTTTACAACCTTTCTTGCCACAGTTGTTAAGTGAATCACTGCAGTTATTAAGTTACTTACACAGTTGTTAAGTGAATCTGGCTTCCCCAATGACTTTGTTTGTCAGAAGGTTGCAAAAGGTGATCCCCGAGACATTGCAACTCTCATAAATATGAGTCAGTTGACAAGCATCTGAATTTTGACCATGTGACCTTGAGAATGCTGCAATGGTTGTAAGTGTGAAAAACAATCATAAATATCTTTTTTCAGTGCCATTGTAACTGAATGTTTACTAAATGAACCGTTTTAACCGTGTAAATTGAAGACCATCTGTACAATGTTGGATCATGAACAGTGCGTATTTTCCTAATGCTCCTTTGTACAATGAGTGTAAGGGGCAACTACATATGATGCACAGATGGGACCCATATTTACAACATGCTTGTGGATTCACCAGGCTTCATCCACCTTGTTATTGTGGAAAATTTGATAATTGTAACTTTGGAAATCAAAGCATAGCTAAATTGGGATAAAGAAATTGTAATGAAATACAAAAAATGGGGTGCGGTTGAATGTGAGTAATGCGAAACTCATCTGAGTCATTTTACAGCTGTCTACCAAGATGTCAATTATTTTCTTCGGTGTCTCTATTCCTCCTTGTTGTTACATTAAATGAGATTTCTATGGCTCTTCAGGTAGAAAATGCTAATCTCAAAAGTATAGCTGTTCGGTTTATACTGAAAAATAAATTCTTTGTGCCTCTTCTAGAAATCGAATGAGTAATCTAAACTTAAACAAAAGCTAAATCATTTGATATAATTTCCAAATATATTTCCACATCATACATGCATTGTCAATGTTTTATTTCTTTCATTTTAGCTTGCTTTAATTCTCATCCTTTCAAAGGCTTACCAAGTAATTGCTTAGAATTCTTTCCTGTTATCAGGTAATTCTCTTGCAAAGACGAAAGTTGCTAGAAAATACAAAAGGGATAAGGTGAAAAATATCACACAATGAGGAGAGTTGTATTCATATCTTTATTACATTCTATTTGGAAGGAGGAGGCTGAATTAATTAGATCAGTTTTATGATCTAGTTTTATGATCAACAGGGTGATGATATACATGATGAAACTTTGATTTGTTTACATTATCATAAAGAAATAAATATCTTAAATACCATAGTTTACCATTTTTTCAGAATCTGAATTAAAAGTATAGTTTTTTTCATGAAGTACAAAGTCAACTAGATAAAGAAGTATTTAATAAAAGATAATTATTTATAAACCCAAAATTCCTATTCTTATGTTCCTATTTAAGAGAGAGCCAAGTCACTATTATCTAGTTCAGTGCAAATATTAACAAAGTAGTTTACATTTATAGCTCTTTAAACAATTGAAACAGTTAAGGAAAATATATGATATATCAAAAGTCAAGCAGCTGAGATGAAATTTGTGATGCCTTTGTGTTCATAATGGGATTTCTAAAACATATTTTGGCATTTTGCAAAATTTATTTTCAGCTATTGCAGTTTCCACCATATAGAGATAGTTGGTGTTGAATAAGCATTTAGTTAAGTTTACTGTTAAAACAGAATTACATTTAATGAGTTTCAGCTATCTATTAAGATAATGGTAGGAAAAATCAGAACAATAGCAATATTTTAATTTATTGTACCTGAATTAATCTAACTTTAGGCAAATTTATATACTTAGGAACCTCCTATGGAAATCAGTAGAGAAAATTCTCAGAAAAAGTTTTACAGAATTGAAACTACTGTATATTTGTCTTATACATCTATCCTGTACCTTTAAAACCAAAAATAAATTACTAGTACAAGTATTATCTATGATTAAATTTAATTTGCTGGATCAACTCATAATAAAGACAAAGTGTGTTATTATGTAATGGTTGAGTTAAAAAGAAAAAAGAATCCCATAGATCCAAATAGGGCATTAGACAAAAGGTTACACCAGTCAATCTTCTAATTACATTATAGATACATTGCTGTAAATTTCAGAGATTTCAGATGAAGCCACATTTTAAAAAAACATACATTTTGGCTTAGTATATTGTCTGACTCCAGCTATTTTAGTAATCTTGGATTCCTTTTATAATGAACCCCATGGTAAGGAGCCCATTCTTAACACCTGCCCCATAGTTCCTGCCAATGTATTTTAATTTAATTTAATTTAATTTAATTTCCAATTTATATACCGCCCTTCTCCCTGAGGACTCAGGGCGGTGTACAGCCAAGATAAAAAACATAGAATACAAATATTAAAAAAACATTTAAAAATATATATATATTTTGGCCCGAAAGTTAAGAAATCACAGACTGATTAAAAGAATTTAAAATTTTCTTCTTAAGCCAACCCGGCTTGCTGGAAAAGATGGGTTTTAAGGGAACGACGGAAGGCATTGAGGTCATGGATTCTCCTTATCTCAGGGGGCAACTGATTCCAGAGGGTAGGAGCCCCCACCGAGAAGGCCCTCCCCCTGGGGGTCACCAGCCTACATTTTCAGCAAGAGACACTACAAATAAGTGCAACTTTTATTTCTCCATTAAAATATGGTTCAATAAAACATGCTAACATTAAATAATATTCTTTAAAAATAGCCAGGCAAAATAAGACATGTTTTAAATTAATCTATGTCTGTACAGTATATGTGCATACAATCACACACATACATTACATACACACCAATTGGAATCTTAAATTTAAAATCTGAAAACTATGAGATAAAGCAGTAATTTACAGGTAACCTTAACTCTCAGCCTCTGTAGTTTGGAAAACATTACTTCCATCTGCCCCAGGCTACTAATATTGATGACTAAATTATCAAAAGGCTCTGAGCAAAACCCTCTGATCTCTCCCACACGTTAGAATCCAAATGGGTGGCAGGAAATAACACTCGTTAATACAAATTTATTTATTTATTTATTTATTTATTTATTTAATCAAATTTATATGTCGCCCTTCTCCCGAAGGACTCGGGGCAGCTCACAAAAATAAAAAGCATCGCGCAATAAAATAATAAATTAATTTTAGTTAATTAAAATACTCCAATTAAAACCCTTAGAAAAACTAAAAACTAAAAAACTCCCAGCAGATCAGGCGATTTGTTTAAAGAGCCACGTCTTCAGGTCCCTACGGAAGGAGCGGAGATTGGGGGCCGTGTGGAGCCCGGTGCGTAAACCATTCCAGAGGGTCGGCGCGCCCACAGAGAACGCCCTCATCCTGGGTGCCATCAGCCGACATTGCCTGATGATGATCAAGCTAATCTTACAGTTCAGTAAACTGAACATTTATATATTTCATTTCTCCAGACATAATGCCTAGGGAGGTATTAAAACATAATGGTAAGGTCATATACCTTAATTAAAAATTGCTCTTCATATATGATGTTATGATCTGTGCAGCAAATGTTGCTTCCCCATAGTGTGACTGTTTGAGGCTGAGGTGGGAAAAGGAGGGGGCAAAGTTACACACAGTCTTTAACAACCCTTTGTTTCCTTTGTCTCTTTTTATTAATATGTCTTGTTTTGTAATTTATTTCACATTTTAGGAATAGGACTAGGAGTTGCTGTTCGAGAATATGGAAAGCTCTCCAACTTGGACAAATTTTACTTTGCATTTCCTGGAGAAGTTCTGATGAGAATGCTCAAACTCATCATATTGCCATTAATTATATCAAGCATGATAACAGGTAAGAAAAATGATCTTTTTCTTAACAGAGGTTAAACAATATTACATATTTAGACTGGTTTCAGTCTGTGTTGTATCGACTTTAGCAAAAGTTTACCAAGTTTACTGACCAAACTTTGTGAGAATGAATTTTGTTATTGTAAAATATTAGAAAAATCGAACTTTCAATGAGAAGTAAATGATTCCTAAACAATCCAAACAAAATCTAAATATCCAGCAGGTCTAAAAAACACATTTCTGCCTTTTAAAAAATATGTTGCTAATTGAGTCACAGCACTATTGTTTTTCTGATATTTTTAAAACAAATTTCTAATATATCTTGTTAATTTGTTAAAGAAACAGCACATTATAAGAGAATGGGATGCTTGAGGAACCGTTATTTCTCTCTTTGTCTCTTCTCTCTCTTTTAATATTTTCAATGAAATGGAGTTTGACTATTAACAATTGAAAATAAATACTCAGTGTAGAATGAAATCTGAATTCTCTTCCCCAAATACTCAAAATATGAACACACTCAGTGGTAGAAATACACCCACACACTGAATAATCCTATTTCTGCTAAAATAACCAGGAACTCCAAAGTTAGAATAGGCTTAAACAATTAAGGCTTATATTCACAGTTTAACTTCCTCCTTTCCAGGCAAGAAAAAAATTGATCCATAAATGGAGAAGATGAAGCAGGGGTATACAAATTTGGTGGGTCTTTATTGGTCTCACATGAATAATAGATTGTATATTTTTTTACTTTAAATGGATTGATTTCAAGTAAAACACTTTCTGAAGTGGAGTGGGGTTGCAGTGTGATAAATTTTAACATGGCTTCTTGCAGCCTGAAAGTGCCAGGATTTTAATTTTAAATTACCGGTACATTAAACTTCCCCCTAATTTTACCTCTAACCACAAGAGGGGTTGTAATCCAGAACATCAGGCCCAACAGCCAGTGGCTGCTTTTGTTTTTTGAAGCCCTTGAGATTCTTTTATCCACTATTGCTTAAGATTGGTGGCACAATTTCACATCAATGGAATGGAAGTAAATGGAAGTTAAAAAAATAATTAGAACTTACCATAAAGCAAGGAACTATTAGACTTGAAATATTAGACCTGCTGGATTCTGAATATCTCCTACAACTTTGTTGTTATTTAACGAGGATGATAATAAATTCTATGTAATAAATTTCAATTTATGAAAACAGAGATGTAAGAGAAAGAAAAAAGGCAATATACAAACCTTGTGATTAAAAGCAAATTAGGAGTAACATAGCTACAAAATTATATGACTTGCAGTATATTGCTAATCACATAGATGAGGGAGTGGACTGGTTATCTATTATCCTAGTAGATAGAAGGAGAATTGTTATTGTTGTCATTATACAATTTAGCAATTGCTAGACTCTATTAGGGCTCTTGGCAGCTCACCATTTAAAAAAAATACAAATATTATTGGGATTCAGTTGGTTAACTTAGTTAAAAGTAAATAGTTTCTAGCAGGAGGAACTGTCTGTCCATATGAGTTGTCAGCAACAGAACAGGTTGCCACGTGAAGTCATAATTACTTTGCTGGAGGTCTTCAGAGGCAGAATGGCCATCTGTCAAAGATGGAGTCCTTCACTTAGCAGGGGCATGGATTAGGTGAATTCTAAGGTCATTTCTAACTCCGCAACTGATAAGTGGATAGTAATTGGTACTAATCCCACAAGAACTGTATCTGGGTGGGGGGAAGCCATATGTAGTATAAAGCTGTCATTAGAAAGAAAAAAAAATGAAGCAGAAAAAGCTATACATCAAGATTGATTCAGGCCATGAACTCTAGTAATTCTAGAGTTGGGAAATCACAGAGTCATGTATTAAGGCCTGAAGTTAATTAACAATGACTACTTGGAAAAATATTTGCATTACCTTTTTGTAAATATTAAAACTAAATCATTCAAATAAACATGAGTTATGGAAGAAAGCTGTCTATTAATACAAGATTGCCAGAGTAGGAACTAGAGAAAGTTCAGTACAGACTTATATTGACATATAAGTCTCTAGAATACATTTATGTTGACCCACTTTGGCACCTTTTAATTGGCAGCACTGGAAGGAATGTTTGATAATATATTTATCTTTTGGCAATAGGAATGGTGGTTACAACTTGCAGTACTGCAGGCACATATTTATCAAATCTAATCTACTATATCTATAATTTACCTTTACCGCTACATAATCATGTAGAATATTGCTAAAGTTGCAGGTTATTGGTCTGATGATTTTATTCATTTTTCTGAATTGTAACGAGTTTGATCTGAGCTACAATTAGCACCAGTTCCTGTTCTTGCTGACTGAATGGAGTTTTTTCTACTGTGTTTGCAGAGTATATGGTCAGTTTAGTGTTGATATTGTGCATCCAGTAATGTCCATCTATAGATTTATCTTTTAAGATATTGGAATAAGGTACGGTATATGCTATAAAGACTGAATTTTCTTGGAAATTTAATCTGTCTCTTCTTTGTTCTGTAGGTTAGGAATATTTTTTTCCCATTATTCTGATGCCATTTTACTTCCATCATTAACATTACATGAATTAATTAACATTTATACAATGTTTAGTATTACATTTGGGATGGAGTGATGTGTTGATCACTCACTGTAATCCAGTTGCACATTCAATTTTTGATTCCTCTGGAATTTGAAGCATTGGGATATTGGTTGCCTTACATTAGATTTTGAAACCATTGTATCATTTCTGGGATTGTTTCAGAGCACTAATTTTGATACCCTTTTGTTAATAACTATCGCTATTTCATTTCTTGTGCGATTTTCTAGCCTGCAATAGAAGAGCTGAGGCTATGAAATGATCCATTTTAATCCATTCCAGTTTGCTGAATACTAGAATATTTTTATTTATTTACTAATTTATTTCAGTATTGAATCTTGACATTTCTACTGTGAAAACTTGAAGTTTGCTTTTAGTTTTACATGCCAATGCAGCATTGCATTTTCCTTTGCTTCTGGGCACATCAGCAGCTGGGCTTCCTTTTGGCTTTGATCCAGCTGCACTATAACCATTAGTACTACTCATACTTGCTTGTTACTCCAGTATCATGTTCCATATTTTCTGAACTGGGTGGGGGGAGTGTCAGGAGGCTCATCTTCCAGTATCACGTTGACATTATCCTGATTCTAAATGCCCATTTATTGTTCTGGACAGAATTTTGGACTTGTTTCCTTCTCTTCCTCCTCCCCCCCCCCCCCATTTACATAGGCCCCAGGTTTCTACAGTTGAGTGCTTGCAAATCTCTCTCAGCCCTCAGCTTTCTGTGAACATACAAAATATTTGCAGCCAAGGAGTTTTGCCGTCATGCAATAACACAGATAAACACATAAAGCCTGTAGTAAAAATGGTGTGGGGACAGGGCGTTACAATTTAGTACTTCCCTTTTTCTATGGAGGGGATGGTGAGGGAATTTTTGTTACTCCAGGAAGCCTTGCAAGTCAATGGGTGAATACTGACGGAAGATTTTTATATACTTCCAAGCCAATCAGATGGAGGGAGGACATGATGTTTCCTGGCTTTCAACATTCCAGTGTTGGCAGAGGTGAAGACAATCACAATGGCAGCTTCAAACTGCTTTGGAGAGGTTAAGAATAGAGTCAGTGTTGTGTGGAGGTAGCCATTGTCTAAAGTAGCAGTGGGCAACTCATGACTTAAGGAATCCTGACTGCTTTTTTGCCAGAGCAGGTTGTTATTGTGTTGTTGTTTCTTTGCTAATGTAACTGTGAAACAAGCCTTATTAAATAGGATCATTGGGAAAAGGTCTGTCTTCCCAGTGATCCTACTCAAAATTCCTGGTCTCCTGAGCAGCAAATGAGAAGTTTACAGACAATGTTGGTGTAGGATGAGATACATCTTCATTGCTTTCCTCTATTATTTTCTAAGATTGCAGGTTTCCTACTTCTACTAGTAACAGGATGTGGGAAGGGACTGGGTATGTATGGATATTTGTGGATAAGTGTATCCTGTCATTTAATGCAACCATTGCCATGCATATTATTTAGTTTTTAGATGTTTTTAAAAGATAAATATTTTGGAAAATTATTGTGGAAAAACATTTTTCTTTATTTTATTTTTTTTTACAAAAAGGGGGGGAAACAATCTTAGAAGAATTCATTATATTTTACTAGCCACATTCATTGTTCAAAAGACACAAAAAGAATTCTTCAGATTCATTAATATTTGAGCTTCAGTTTCTCACATTTAGACACTGACTTTTTCATTTTTATGAAATCCTTTCCTTTCCTTTTTATATCTATGATTTGCATAACATAATTTTAATGCTAATATTGGGACTAACAATTTCCAAACAGCATCATTTGATACAGTGTTAAAATCAGAGTCTAATCAAAACTCCATTGTAAGATAGTTAAACATTCAAAAGCCTTTTGCTGTGAGTCACTTCCATCAACTGAAGTAACCATGCTACTTCCTGGCATATGTCTAAAACCCATACACTTTTGAAGTTTTGGGCAGATTACTTTAATGTAAGTGTCTAACTGCCTGTCCAATAAGATTGATTAGAACAGGCTTACTCTGAGTCCCTTCTCTTAGGTCAGTGTTTCTTAACCTGAGCAACTTTGAGATTGTAGAATTCAACTCAGGCAACATGCTGGCTAGGAATTCTGGGAGCTGATCCATACATCTTAAAGTTGCCAGGGCTGAGAAACACTGTCTAAGGACCCTTATAACGAACCCAAGGAATCAAATATTTTCAGTCACAGCCCTCTTCTTTGGAATAGTTTATCTCAAGATCAGATGAGCCCCCACTCGGCTGAGTTTTAGGAGAACTGTACAAATTTGGCTTTTTAAGAAAATCTTGTATAAGAGTTGGAGCCTCCACCCTGGGTTTTGTTTCTGTTTTTATTATTCCGCAGTAATCATAGTCTTTGTTTTTATGTTGTAGTTTTTTTTCTTTCTATTGGTTAGTTTGTATTTTTCTTAAATTATTTTACTATTGTCATACTGTAAAAAGAAAAAGTATGCTCCTCAGTATTTCTGGGATGGAGTAGCATATCTCTCCCTCTCCCTCCCTCCCTCCTTCCCTTTCTCTCTTTCCCTCCTCCCCTCTCCCTCCCCCCCTCTCTCCCTATCTCTTCCCTCCCCCCCATCTCGTGTGTCACAAATCACACACACCTTTGAGTCAGTTTTGTCTTCTAGCAACTGCCTGAACAAGTCCCTGCAGTTTTCTTGGCAAGTTTGTTTTCAGAAATGATTTGTCATTGCCTGCTTCTAAAATCTGAGATTGAGTGAGTAGTCCAAGGTCATCTGGCTGGCTCTGTGCCTAAACTGGGACCAGAACTTGTGGTCTCTATGTTTCTAGCCTGACCCTATAACCAATAGACCCAACTGGCTCAACTTCCCTTTTTTTGTCCCCAGGTTTCTTAATAGGTCCACCTCAGGTCAGCCAGAGGACACCTTCAAAAAGCTTGCTGTCAGGTTGCCTGGCAAGTGGGCAGCCATAACATCTTAATTTCAAATTTTTATTTTCAGTGCACAACATATGTACAATGAGATTGGTTGAGCTGAATTGAATGAATTGAACATTGAATTCATTGATGATTAATATGACTGTTTTTAAGTCTTACGTGCTTATAAGATATATAAATAAATATTTATATCTCTCTGGCACTAGTCACTGAAACTTAGTTTGCAAAAATGAGTCAGTCACTCTTGCTATCTAATGAGCTTCAGGTAATAGCTATGACAGTCAAGCTTTCTCATGTAGGAAGAAAAGGTTGGTTGTGATTTTTCATTCAGTCTTGGCTGTTGGAAACTTTTATTTTATTTTCACTCAGACTGGTACTAATTTGAGGCACCAGCTGGCCCTTTTACTGATGGCCTCTATTTATCATCAACGGGGCCCATTTCACAATTATTTCTGGAAGAGTTATTTCCGTGGCTATGTGAATTTCTTTTACTAATTTGTCCTTCACACCTTTGTGGGGATTTTAATATGTGTATTGATCCCTTACCAATGGCACAGGAGTTTTGTTCTGTTCTTTAAAAGTATGGTCTAATTTTTTTCTTCCTTTGATTTAGCATTGTCTTCAATTATTTCACATTCCCTGGATTTACTTTTGTCCTCTGGGTAATCAGTCTATCTGTCTGGCTCTCTGTCTGTCTGTGTGTCTCTTTCTATTCGTATAGGTGTATTACACAATTACTATTACTAAAAGTTTTCAGCTTTTAGAACTATCTTCACAGTTCTATTTATTGCCAAATTTATCTCATTCTGTCTCTTCTTTTTTGTAAATTCTACTATTGTGGCTTTTTTGGCTGCTTTGTTTACTTATGTAGCACCATAGCATTCTGGATAGTCCTTTGTTATGAATTTATTTTGAGGGCCAGGCTTCTCTGCCATAAATGTCTGCAGTTGTGAAGATCAAAGAATCCTGGTTAGATGGTTACAAAGGCATCTGAAAATATGTACTGGCTGAGGACATGTACAGAATAGTCTTTTTACCTTCACTCTAAACAGGCTTTC